AGATTACCAGGACTTTGACTAAATCAAAATCTCTTTCTCTCTTCCCCTTTGCTCTCTTGGGCACTCTCTAGCTCTATCTATAGCTCTTTTCCCTCAAGAAACATTCAGAGGTTACTCACTATAATTGTTCGACTGGATTTTACAATTCTATTTCTCAAAGTAGAATAGGATGAAATTTTGTATTTATCTTACTTATAAATAGTTTCTATACATCCATACAATAAAATATTATGTGATTATTTTTAAAGGAAGAAGTAAATCTTTGTTTTATAACATGTAAAGCATCTATAATATGTTATAAAGGAACAAAGTTCAGGTTAGTGTGCATGCAGTAAAAATCAGTTTTCTACATATATACATGATGACATAAAAGTCTAGAAAAATATACCTCGTATAAGTTGTGATAGTCTTTAAGTAGTTCGAATTCTGTTTTTTTTATTTTCTTTGTTATCCCTTTAAAATGTTTTCTTGTAATGAGCAGACATTGAAGTAACTGAAAACATGCATTAAACTAAAATTAGTCTTTTGTGGATGGAATTAAGCCTGGCAGAAATAGTAGTAATAAAACAGATTACTCTGCTAAGTCTCACAAAATTATTATTTTTTCATTACATAGCAATTCATAGAACTTATAAAAATTGARTGAACATCAAAAGAAAAATCAAAACTCTAGGTTGAGTATAATACATTATCTTTCACTTCCACCCAAAGTCAATTGACAATTGCTACCCAAGAAGGACAGTTCTTCCAGCAGAAGAACCAAGAAGTCCAACTTGTTGGTTTTTCTTCGTCTAATTCTGAGGTGTAAAYTGGAAAGCAGATTTCCATTCCATATCAAGGTGTACACCATACCTGTTATGATTTACATATGAAGTGTCCCACAAAAGTTCATGTGGGAGACAATGCAAGAAAGTGTTCAAAAGGAATGACTGGGTTATGATAACCTTAGCCTAATCGTTTCATTGATCCCCTGATAAGGATTAATTGGGTGGTAACTGTAGGCAGGCAGAGTGTGGCTGGAGCAGATGGGTTATTAGGGGGTGAACCTTTGGGATACATATTTTGTCTG